CTCCTTGATGTGGTGCTGCTTAACACCGGTGACGTGCCAACCTTCAACGGCAGACAGGGTGAGTGGGTGGTACACTCACAGCGACCATCGTTTCTCTGCCATCGTGTCCGGCGCATCAGTCGCTCGCGGGACCGCGGAGGATATGGCGTCGAGCCTCATGGACGTCTTTACCGGCGCATTTGATGCCTCCTATCCAAGAAAAATCCTCACCGTCGTCGTCGTAAACCGGTATACTGGTGGACGGTGGAGATCACTGATTTACGGCCCTCCTGCCTGCGAGCTCGCAGACTCTTCCAGAGATCGCGTGGCCAGCAAGACGAGAAAGCCCACAGCGTGAACTACACCTCCACAAGACGTCTAATGTGCGTGGCGATCAAGACCAGCAAGCGCCGGTGCTGGAGACAGCTTTGCGACGAGGTCGACAGAGACGTCTGAAGCAAACCATAAAAAATTCTCATGTCGCGCCTGCAATGCCCGCAGAATAAGCAGCATAGCTCCCCTCTCCTGGTGCGCGGAGCGGTGGCGGCTCTGTTTACACGAGTGCCGAGCAGGCCCACCTTACAGCTCCCGCGTCAGGCAGGAGAGCTTATCCCAACCGTCACCTTAGAGGAACTCAAAGGAGCTCAGTCGAGGATCAAGGAGTGCTCTGTGCCCGGCCCTGATGGCGTACCCAATTCGGCGCTCAAGATTGCTATAGCCGCACGTCCTGACATCTTCTTGCGGGTGTACACGACATATCTGGAGACTGGCATTTTTCCATCTGGCTGGAAGCGCCAAAGGCTCGTCCTGATCCAAAAGCCAGGTAAACCTCCCGACGAGCCGTCCTCGTATCGTCCGCTGTGTATGCTGGACACGGAGGGCAAGATTCTTGAGAGAATCATATGTGACCGGCTGAAAGCTTTTACAAAGAGACTCGGAAGCCTCTCGGAGCGACAGTAAGGCTTCCGAGAAGGACGATCAACGATAGATTGAATCGAAGACGTCATTTCCACCACCCGGAATGCAGTAGTAGGCAGAAGGTGGCTCCGTGACGTGACGAACGCGTTCAATTCGGGCCGGTAGGACAATATCCTCGCTGCTTTACGCCGTTTGCTCGTACCCAATTACTTTCTAAGAATAATTGCCAGCTACTTCTCAGCAAGAGTGCTCGACTTCACTACGTACGATGGCCCGGAGTCCTACGAATTCACAGCAAGTGTCCCACAGGGGTCAGTTTTGGGCCCGATCCTGTGGAATGTCATATATGACGCCATCTTGCACCTCAACTTCGAGGGCGATGTTCGTATTGTCCGCTCCGTGGACAACATCACCGTGGTGGCAGTTGCCAAGCACCTTTGGTAGATCGAACACGATCTGAACGCTACCATTCTACAGGTGTGAGGCGCGCTCCAAGCTTGTAAACAGCTGACCACAAGATGAAGGCTCTGCTCATCACCGGCAGGAAGGAAGTGGAAACCATCACCATCACGGAAGGCGACCGCAGCATACGATTGTCCCCCTCCATCCACTACCTGGGCCTGCACATCGACGCCAAGCTGAAGTTCGATCACCACCTCCGAACAGTCAGCGCGAAGGGATCCGGTGTGATCGGTGCCCTTACGTAGATCATGCCTAACTCTGGCGGGTCCAGAAGTAGCCGATGTAAGCTGTATGCTTACGTTGTAGACTCCACACTCCTGTATGGAGCCCGTACATGGAACACAGCCACAAAAAAGCGAGCCTACATTCGCCAGGCGGAGTCAGCCCACCGACGAGCCTGCCTGCGTGTGTTCGGTGGCCAGGCGCATGTCTCTTACGAGACGACGTACGTCCTTACCGGCATACCTCCACTAGCTCTCCTCGCAGACGAGCGAACGCGGCTCTACTGTCGCTACCGAGAGGATGCAAAGGACGAGGAACGCTTGGCAACGCTAAGTAAATGGCAGAAAGCATGGGACCAGTCGACGAAGGCCCGATGGACGCATCGACCGATCCCAAATATCAGAGTGTCGATCGAAAGGGGACACGGAGAGTTGAACTACCACCTCACGCAACACTTGACCGGGGATGGCTTCTTTAAAAACCATAGCCGATGCTACGATCATAATCAAAGCGTGCAATGACCGATTGGCCCCTCATCCATCGAGAACGTGGAACATGTATTCTATCACTGTCCGAAGTTCAGCGAAGAAAGAGAAAAGCTACAGGCTCTGCTCCATGAGATCATGACGCCGGAAAACCCCACCAGGCTCATGCTCACGAGCGAGTTGAAGGGTCGCGATTGATTCCTTTACCCACTCAGTTGTGATAAGACTGAGAGATGAAGGAATGAACAGAAGGAGATGACCGGACGATGTAGCTAGAAGAAAATGCCACGCCATCCAAGCCCTCATGAAGCGCATAATGCCAATCTCTCCACCCTCTGAAGTAATGCCTAACGGCGGTTTCCGCGGGGATGGAACAAAGGGAAATTGATGTGGATGTATCTACATAACCTATGTACAGTCTAAACCAACATGTTACAGTTACCGCTTAACGTAAACTTCTCTTTTCTCTTTTTACTAAATAAGATATATTAATACATAAAAAAAAAACATTGTAAGTAAGTAGACAGCCAGTACAGAGTCCGGCGGTACTCCTTCCTTTTACCCTTATCCTAGACCCGTGTTGAGAGAGAGAGATCCGAGTATCGTGAGCCTGATATGAGACTTGGATCGGCGCCGTTTACAAGAGCGCCGAATCCGTAGCGAGAGACGCGACCCGTGTGTAAGATCCGCGCGCCTGCTGAGGAGAAGCATACGAAAAGCTGTCACAGAAGAGAGGCCTGATTGACTGACGGGCCAACGATTGAGAGACTGTGCGAGCACTCTGTGCTGGTCCGCGCTCAGCGACGCTACTACTGTGGTTCTGTATTGAGTTCGGTTGTGTTGTGTGCGTGCGAGCTACCTGTTGCGAATCCATCGTCGCCTGGCTTTCCTCTCGTCTGCCCTCGCTTCTTCTGCAATCAATTTGGCCTGCATCACCTGCCCGATAATCAGCGTCAGCAAATGTAAGTCGCCTACAACTCTCTCGCGTGCATGCGCCATATATTCTATTATTACGTAAGCTCTATCTCTCTCGACGTCATCCTCGCTTAGCCCAAACTCACGACCGCCGTATCTGCCGTGTCTAGCCGCGGTGGCCTAATCTCGTGTGCGTATTGTATCGAGAGGATATTCTTATTTCTATGTCAAACGCGTGCTCGAAAACCCTTACTTGTAATTCGTCGATTCATTTAATGTACAATATATTCAGGCGTCACATTCGTGACTGGCGCTCTTTTCTACAATAAATTCAGCCTCATTATTATTGTTACTTTCTACATGATCGAGTGGATTCTTTCGACACCCAGATTTTTCTCCTTCTCTACAGCATATGAAGATCTCGCCGAATCATTTGCTCGCGTCCCGAGGGTAAACGGTTACAACATTCATAAGGGAGCATGTGTGCGCGAGCCCGCACATACTTGTATCTTCGTTTGGCAGTATGTCCCATGGATTATACTAGTGCGCATGCGCGAGGATCCGGCGGATACATGCGTATGGCTGACTGGCAGGGAATCGGCCAGTTATGGACTAAGCTTAATACGTAGGCCGGCTTGCGTGTGTAAGCACTTTCTTCCGCGTGCACACATACACCAGTCTCGCAATGTCTGTATGCGCTCTTGCTTACGCGAGCGCACCCATACCAGTATCGCCCCGTATTTATGAGTTCTTGCTTACGCGAGTGCATCCACTCATGCTATGGTGCCTATACAATAGTATACATAAATGTATAGAATACATGCACGCCTACACTGACTCGTGCAGCAACTCACCGTGCATGCCCACCTGACTCTCCACAGGCCGGCCTGTTACGGGCTGGATGTAACAAATTAAAACTTTCATAAAATATCCGGGAGTTTAAAAAAAAAGGTGTTTCTTTGAGTGAACCTCAGCAATTAGAAAATTTTTTCTGATTTTTATTATTATTTGAACGGCTCTACAGCAGGTAATTTTAGAGAAATCAAAATTAGCAAATTGAAGGTCATAAAAATACCTTCACTTTGATTGCTTCGGATTTCTATTTGCTTCAAAATTGACTGCGATAGAGCCATTTGAATATTGCTGAAAATCAACAAAATCAGCTATTTACTTGAACTACGGTCAAGATGTGGTTTTACATAAAAACCTCGAGGTCAATTTTTTTCAAAAAGTACTTTTTTAGACGAAAAAAATGATTTTAACCATGTCTTTGATGAGTCCAAACTCCCCCTTGTAGAATTTTTTAAAAATCGCCAAAAAGAATGATAAAAACTATGTTTGTAACACTCATTTGTCGCGAGGCACTTTCACAAATTTTTTTTTTGGCCTAAAACTTTAGGAAAAGTCGTTTATCATGTTATTCGATAACACATTTTGTCCAAATTTTTTTGAAACATCGCCGTACACATTTTTAAAAAAAAAGTAGGAAAATGACTAATATATTATTTTTGATTTCTAGGGGAGGCCAGAAATTCTGCACGAGACTCCTTCAACACTTAATATATAAAAAATTATTATTATTAAACGACAAATTAAAAAAATAAATTTTCAAATGTTTTTCGATGAATTTTGATGTTTAAGGACCTATTTTTGTATCAAAAAACGTTGGTTCTAGATGCTCAATGTACGAAATGAAAAAAATTTGTATTTCAGATCAAGACTTCACGGGGTATATCAATTCCTTACACCGAAAATAATTGATGAAATAATTGTAATTTTCAATGATTTCATCTGAAGGCCTGAAGCACTTGAAAAATCTGAAAATTTTTTAGGTGATTTTTTTTGTGATTTTCATTTATCATAAGTTCTATGGAATTTAGTGAAGTGTACAGTATTTGTTTCTAGCAGGGTCGAACTTTTTTTGTTTGAAAATACTAACGTGTACTTGAATATAAATAAACATCTAAATTCATGCTTACCATATTTTTTTAACTTAGGAAATTGTTTCAATTTTTATAGGACTCCAATTTTTCTACGTATCAACGGATGTGGCATTTTATGGAAACGTCTAAAGCACCAAATGAAGTTTTTACCAAGAGCAATGTAGAAGGAGTAACTCGCGTAATAAAAGATAAAGGAAATTATGCATTTCTTATGGAATCTACATCTATAGAATATGTGATTGAGCGGAATTGTGAATTGACTCAAATTGGTGGACTACTTGATTCGAAAGGATATGGTATAGCGATGCCCCCTAGTAAGTTAATTCTTTTACGCAGAAAATATTCTTTAATCGATGTTTTATGTTGCGACGTGAGAGGATTTGGGCCCTTGCCCATGCTCAGCCTGCAGTCCTATTATTTATTCACAGAGGTTCCGCATAGCCTATCCTTGAGTCTTACCTCAGAAGGGGTCGAGCCACCACCAAGTGCGCCACGAGCTTCGGCAGTCCAAACTGAAAATGAGTGAGAGAAAGTCGCGAAAAGACTACGAAAAAATGTTCTTTTGAACACAAATACTCGTTTCTTTATTCAACTCCAACCTTCACTATCATTCATACAATCATTTTTACTCTCGCGCTTCGTTTCGCTACTTCATCTCAATATTCATTACTAACATCGTATCACGCCTCAAAAATAATCGATCATACGCAAGTCCAAGGGGAGAACGCGAGGGTTACAACTCTAGCCCGATACGAGTCCCAGTCAAGTGCCACGTAATTGCACTGCGCGCAATCGGAACGTTTCTCCGAAATACGGTCGACGCATTCGCTCTGCTCGCGCTAGCAGACGCGCGATATAGTCACAAGCAACCAAAACGATACGTTATCTCGCTTGCTCTCACTCGAGCGTCTAAGGCGAAAATACGGCTTCGCAAAATGGCCACGCACAGGCCTGAAACGCGACACGTCAACTCGAATCATGTATGCTGAAAGTCCAAGGTACTCGCTATTAATAACTCCGATTTCCACGACTATTACACACAATTCTACAACGCGAAATACTGCCTATTTCTTACCCATACCTTCTCACAAACCCCTCATACATCCGCGCGACCCACCAAGTCTACTACAATCTACGACCTTATCGTCGCTCCTATGTCTTGGCCTTTGTTCCTTGATATCGTCTTCCGCTGTCCCCTAGCTGCTCCATCCTCGTGGTCTGTCCGGTCCAAGGTCGTTCAACTTACCTCAGAGATGCCTCGGACGATTTATGAGAAGGTCGCTGTACATCAAATTTGCGTAGCTCGCTTCCTTCCTAGCCTCGCGATCGCCTCGTCACGTCTCAAAAGTTCTCTCGCCACACTGAACTCCAGGCTTGAACACAGCCTCTCCACGGACACAACACTACGACCTTCCACTGCACACACAGCTTCTCCACGAATAGCCACTATCAACACCTGCTGCTACACAGCTTCTTCACGACCAACCCAACCGCTGGCACACAGCTTCTCCTTTCTCACTCGCAACTTATCACTCTACGACACGTCCTTACTCTCTCGCAGTCTGATTGCGAATCTTGTGTGCACAGATCGACTACGCATCGAGCGCGAGGCGCTCGATTCACACAGATCGATTTGCTCTTCAGTGCACGTGGTCCGAGTGTTTTGTTTTGACTATTGCTTATTCGATTCATGTTTTTTGGATTTTTAACTTTTTTTCTACTTTTGATATTGAGTTAAAAATTGTATACGAATATAATAAATGAACTGATGAAAAAATAGTAATAAAATTTGTATTCTTAACGGTAAAAGTTCCAAAGATTAGAGGGCATTAAATTAATTGCAGAGTTCACTCCAACCACGTCAAAAAACGGTAAATAACACTCACCAGATGTGATTTGTATACGTGCGTCCTCATATATACACAAAATTGAACAGAACTATTATTATATTGTACGTTTGACTAATTTGTAGATTTAAATCTAAAACGAACATTATTTTTAACTTCTTTAACATTCAACTTTTATTTACTTATAATTGCGTTGGTATTATTCAGTTCTAATCAAATGTATAAATTTTAACTCGTTAGACGTTAACTTATTTATTCTATTTCAGATTCACCTTATAGAACAGCAATCAGTGGGACAATTTTAAAATTGCAAGAGGAAGGTAAATTACATATATTAAAAACAAAATGGTGGAAAGAAAAACATGGGGGAGGATCATGTAGAGTGAGTATTATTTTTATTCAAGTATATATCAAATTGCTTCCTCATAGAGGAAGTCCTGTGATAGGCTTGAAATCGAGATTTGGAACCAGACGTCGTAGGACAATTTGGTTTACATATTTGGAAACTACATTGAATTACCAACAAATGACTGTATGTATTTGCGTTTTTTTTTCTACTTCACCCCATTCGGACACTCACTGGTACCGCCGTTAGGGATTTCTTCGGTGAGGCCGGGGTTAGTTGAGCATTTCTGCTACTTCTGTTAGTCGTTGTTTTTTCCATACATCCCCCATCCGTTGCATAGTGATATGCGACGATAAGGGGTTCAGAGACTCATCTTTTTTCTACTTGGTGAACCTCCGATCCTGCGCGATGCCATCGTCGATTGTCGTATCCCCTTTTTCAGAGCCGTATACTGCGTGGTCACACATTGCTGGCATCTCCTCCTGAGTGAGACATCTTCTTTTTTTAGAACTCGCTGTCTAGTGCCATCTTGTGAGTGTGGTTCTCGCTTCCGGCGCTACCCTGTAAGTGCTCCTCCTTTTCTGTTGTCGTCTTGTGAGTGTGGTACTCGCTTCAGGCGCCATCATGCGTGCTGGAGGGGCCTAGGCCCCCGCATGTGACGCCCTCTTGTGAGTGTGGTTCTCGCTTCCGGCGCTACGCTGTGAGTCTCCGTGAGTTTTTGATATTCCTTCTTTTCTGTTGTCGTCTTGTGAGTGTGGTTCTCGCCTCAGGCGCCATCATGCGTTCCAGCAGAGCCTTGGCTCTCACATCTGGCGCCCTCTTGTGAGTGTGGTTCTCGCTTCCGACTTCATCAAGGGAGTGTTGTGCTTCATCTATTGCCAGCCTCTTGAGTCCTCCCCTCGGGCTCCTACTTATGGTTATCCTATCGCTTCCAGCTAGCACAGTGATCGGGGTTTTTTTTACCACTTCAGAGGCTGATGACATAGCGCGGTTCTTCTTTTTGAGTGGTACCCGCTCCACCTCGGGAACGGGCTCGACCACACCAGGCGAAAAAACGAACCTCGAAAATTCGTCTGGTGGGAATCGAACCCACGCCCTACGGCGTACCTTGTATCAGCAGGCAAGAACTATACCCACTGAGCCAAGGGGCCCATTGTGTGTGTGTGTGTGTGTGTTTTTTTTTTTTTTGGGAAGGAGGGAAATCCTTTCACGGATTCAACGTGCGACTTTTGTATGTCGCACGGATATGTCGGACTCGAGTAGTGTACTGTTGTTTGTGTACAGATGTTGTGTGGGCGTGTAATGTGCCTCCCTACTAATACCGACTAAAACCCATCCTTATCTCCTGCCCCTTTCCTTCCCCGGGGGACCACCTTTAGGCACTACTTTGCGGGGGAGGCTCGAGCTGTGTGCTCACTTCTGAGGAGTTATCTTCGTTTCTTCATCGTATTTTTCTCACCGCATCATCCGGTTATCTTCTTCTTGCCCTCTCTTCGCTCCTCAGTCTTGTCATGACCTCACCATCCTCCACCGCCGCCGGGCATACCGGGCACTGATCACCTGTGTCGTTGTTTGTTCGACACAGGTATGACCTGAAGCAGCCGTGACCGGTCAGGAGTAGCGTGAGGTGGTCATTCACTTCTCCGTGCCTCCTCTCAATCCACGGGATGATGTTCGGGATCAGTCGGTGTGTCCACCGACCCTTCCTCGAGCAGGTCCATTGGGCCTGCCATTCCTCGATCGTCTTGGCCCGTTCTTCACTTTCGACGTTTTCGAGGCGACGTAAGTACAGCCTCAAGCGTTCGTTGATGAGTAGTGTGAGCGGTCGTATGCTCGCGAGAACGTATGTGGCCTCGTGTGAGATGCTGCAAAAACCGCAGATCACTCGAAGGCAGGCACGACGATGAATCGAGACCGCCTGGCGGGCGTAGCTCTGCTTCTTCGCAGCCTCACTCCATGCCGGGGCACCGTATAGAAGGATCGAGTCGACCACGCTGGTGTAGAGCCTGCGTTGACTGCTCCTTGGGCCTCCGATGTTGGGCATAAGACCCAGCAGGGCGCCTGCAACCCGGTTTGCCTTGTCGCTGACGATACGAAGATGATCTTCGAATCGCAGCCTGGCATCAATGTGCACGCCTAGGTACCGGATGCAGGGAGCTGACGTGATGTAGTGGTCGCCGGCTCTGACAGCGATGGTCTCCGTCACTTTCCTGCTGGTCACCAGAAGAACCTCGGTTTTCTGGTCAGCGGTCTGTAGCACCAGTTCAGTCAGGGCTGCTCGCACTAGACGTATAGTCTCGTTTGAGTAATACTCGAAGAGGTCTGAGTGCTTGGCCACCACCGTGATTGCAATGTCGTCTGCAAATCCGACGATTTTTGCGGACCTCAGTAGCTCGAACCTCAGGATCATATCGTACATGACGTTTCAAAGAATGGGGCCAAGTACGGATCCCTGTGGCACGCCAGCCGTAACTTCGTAGGTCTCTGCCCCATCATCCGTGGTGAACTCCAGCACTCTGCCGCGGAAATAGTTTGAAACCATCCGCTGCAAGTAAGCCGGGACCTCCATTTGGCTCAGGGCGGTGAGAATTTCGTCCCACCGCGCTGAGTTGAAGGCGTTCCTTACGTCCAAGGTGATGATGGCGCAGTACTTCTTGGTACCCCTATGCCTTGGTATCATTTGCCACTGATGGCTGATCGTGCAGTGCTGAGAACGGTCTGTATGGCATCAACAGTTTATCGCCTCTTACGGAAGCCGAACTGCGAGTCTGCTAGGCCAGCAGGCCCTTCAGTGTGGGCCTCCAGGCAACCAACCATGATCCTTTCGAGGATTTTACCCGCTGTGTCTAACATACATAGCGGGCGGTACGACGATGGTTCGGCGGCAGGCTTGCCTGATTATCGGCCTCCTTGGCTCAGTGGGTATAGTTCTTGCCTGCTGATACAAGGTACGCCGTAGGGCGTGGGTTCGATCCCCGCCAGACGAATTTTCGAGGTTCGTTTTTTCGCCTGGTGTGGTCGAGCCCGTGCCCGAGGTGGAGCGGGTACCACTCAAAAAAGAAGACCCGGGCTATGTCATCAGCCTCCGAAGCGGTAAAAAACCCCGATCACTGTGCGAGCTGGAAGCAACAGGAAAACCATAAGTAGGAGCCCGAGGCGAGGACTCACAAGGCTGGCAATAGATGGAGCACAACACTCCCATGATGAAGTCGGAAGCGAGAACCACACTCACAAGACGACAACAAAAAGGAGGAGTATCAAAAACTCACGGAGACTTACAGCGTAGCGCCGAAAGCGAGAACCACACTCACAAGATGTAGCCGACAGAGCAAAGTGGGCACTTGCCATCGGCGGCAGAAGCGAGAACCACACTCACAAGATGGCACTAGACAGCGAGTTCTAAAAGACGTCTATCTCAGGAGGAGATGCCAGCAATGTGTGACCACGCAGTAGACGGCTCTGAACGACAATCGACGATGGCATCGCGCAGGATCGGAGGTTCACCAAAGTAGAAAAAAGATGAGTCCCTGAACCTTTAATCGTCGCATATCACTATGCGACGGATGGGGGATGTATGGAAAAACAACGACTAACAGAAGTAGCAGAAATGCTCTACTTACCCCGGCCTCACCGAAGCAATGCCTAACGGCGGATTCCGGTGAGTGTCCGAATGGGGTGGAATAGAAAAAAAAAAAAAAAAAGGCTTGCCTGGTTTTAGCATCAGGACGAGCCTTTGCCGTTTCCAACGCGCGGGGAAGCACCCCTTCCTGAGACACGCCGTAAAGACGCGGTGAAAGCTATCGAAACAAGCCTTGACCGCCGCCTTGAGGGCAGTGGTAGGGATTCCATCTGGACCAGGGGTTGCTCCGATCCTCACACGCCGATACGCCCATCGGAGCTCCTCCACGCCGACCTCGGGTACCAGGTGCTCCTCCGTCCTGGGTGCCTTGAGGCGGGACATGACCTTTTTGTATGGTTTACCCCATACATCGCGGTCCGCCTCGTCGCAGAGCTGCCTCCAGCAGAGGCGTTTTCTCGCCTTTATCGCATTGCGTAGTCGCCTGCGAGCGTCGGCGAACTCCTCGCGGCGACTAACTTCGTCAGGACGGCCGCGTGCCCGTTGAGCGTACCTTCGCGCACGGATGCAGTCCCGTCTGCACTCCGCGATGTCGTTCCACCACTCAACAGGCTCGCGGTGCCGGCGATCACGCCCTCCAGACATGGCGGCGTCGCATGCGCGCACGATTGTGAACATGAGTTCGTCCACCATGTTCCTTGCGGAACCCGACCGAATCTCCATCTCAGACACGATCTCAGCAAAGCTATCACCGTCGAGAGTTCGTGCGCTCCACCTACGGTTGCCTACCGGAGCACGGCCAACACCTTGATTTTCCTCAAGGAGAATCTCGTACACAATAGCTTTATGATCGCTGCTTGTGTAGACATCACTTACCCGCCAGGATCTGACTCGATTGTAGAGCGAAACACTGGCGAAGGAAAGGTCAATTACAGATTCTCCCTGTTCTCCAACAAATGTCGGCTCGGAACCGGTGTTCAGCTGGAGGACATCCAAGGTAGCGAGGGCATTTAGCAGCGCCCTGCCCCTCGGCTTCGTCTCCCTACTGCCCCACTTCGTTGCCCAAGCATTGAAGTCGCCAGCCACGAGGACTGGTGTTTTTCCTCTGGCCTCGTCAACAATGTTGTTTAACAGGCCGATGAATTCCTCGTGGGAGAGGCAAGACCAGGTCTTAGGCGGACTCGCAGTGATTGAGGTTGAGTTGAAGAACGAGAAACCTTTGCTCCGTCATTTTGTACCTCGCACGAACTCCTTAGCGAGCGGACAGCCCCTGCTCAACGAAGCTTGGGTCCTCGCATCGTCACCGTGACAGAAGAGGCAGAATGGCTCATTTTGGCATGACTTAGCCATGTGCCCATCCTTGCCCCACCGACGGCAACATTTGCTTCGATCTGGACCTGGGCATCGGGCTGCCAGGTGCCCCGGCGCCCAGCACCGGTAGCATCGAAGGACCTCGGTCTTTTCGCGAATGCGACAGTTGACCCACCCAATCCGGACCTGAGCCAGCCTGATAGCTTTCGCAGCCAGCTGGGCCGGCATGGTGACAACGGCGGTCTGAGTCCCAGCGAAAGCCCTTCGCAGAGACCTGACCGCGTCGGGACCCAAATTAGCGGCATCTAGATGGGTCCACAGGGCCTCGCAAACCTCTTCCTTCGTTGTGACCTCATCCAGATCTTTGATCTCAATCGCTGTCACTGCAGAAAGAGTGGTCGCCGCACCCAGCTCAGCGATGGCGTCGTTCAACCTTTGGCCCAGCTCGCCGGGGTTGGCGCACGCCTTGGTGAGCTGCAGTAGTAGGTCTCCGTTCGTGCTGCGTAGGACCTTGTTGACGCTACCAACTGAGTCCTGCAGCGACGGCTCCGATCGTAGAAGCTTCAGGATTTCCGAATATGACTTCGGGTCCTTCGCCTTTACGACCACTACGTCAGGGCGAGGGCGTCTATGCGCTTTCACTTTGGGCTTCGGGTCGGGAGCTTTAGCCATTGGGGTGGCCTTTATCTTGCCCTTCTTCTTCTTCTTCTTCCTCTGGACCTGCTGCCATTCGTCATCGACTGGCTTAGAGGCCTTTGTGGCATCTTTCTGATCTCTCGTCATTGTCCTCGGAGCGGGTGTTGGTGGGTTGTTGCCCTTATCACCTGGGGCCCGGGACGCCCGAAGCTTTTCCTTCGCGCGAAGACCAGGAGATGTTTGCACCTCTTTCTCCATCGTATTCTGGCAAGGGAGATGCTCCAGCCCATCCAGCGCCGTTAGGCAACTCAAGTGTATTTTTGCTGCCTTCGTCAGCATCTGCTTCAGGATCTTATGGATGTTGTTTTTGGGCTCGGCGAATTCGATCATTTCTTTGATCTTATCGCCTAGCCGCTCCAGGTGCTCCAGCAGGCTCAACGTCCTTTCAGTCCTTTCGGACTCCACTTCGGATTGGACATCCGACACAGATGCAGATGTGGCTCCAGACCCCGCTTTCCTGTGCCTGAGACTCTCACCGCCCTCCATAGCGTTGTCGTGTGTGTGTGTGTGTGTGTGTTTGTTTTCTCGACTTTTTGGCTAAGGTAAAAGGTTCGGTAGCAAAAATCGGTAGCAAGGTAATCTTACACGAAATTCTAGAAATCTGTAAGTTTTTTAGGAGTTTTGCATCCATTAAAGAAAACGGAATTTAAAATTTGAAATAAGAATTTTTTCTTCAATAACCACATCGTTTCTTTAATATAATTTTTTATGAGGAAGTCACTTTGCCAATAAATTGGCAGCGGTT